TTGAGCGCATTACGCAGCATTTACAACACCTCCGGATGACGTGTTTCCGGCGATGCCGATCCTTCAAGCATACTTAAGAAGGCCCTTCTGCCGGCCCCTGTCTCCCTCTTGTTCGTCTGCACCAACAGAGAAGATCCTTTCGCCTCAACCACCGGCACGTCAGACAGACTCCCCACCAATCATCTGACAGAGCAGCAAGACATACGCACACCCGGCTCATATACCACCCACGCAGACATCATGCAGATGCTCATACTCTCCCTCGCGGCTTCCGCCATCTTCGCTGCGCTCACGTAAGTCAACGCACCACTCATGACCCTACTGAGCCTTCCTTGCTGACCCACCATCAGCGCCGGCGCTCCCGTCCCTCACCTCTCGCCCTGCGAGCCAGGTCTCACGAACCACAACATCTGCCTGCGCCAGCGCGAGGCTGACGCCAACCTGTGGGCCCTGAAGCGCACCGCGGATGCTGAGACGAAGGCGAACCTGTGGGCTGTCAAACGTGCCGCGGACGCCGATGCTGACGCCAACCTGTGGGCTGCGAAGCGCGACGCTGATGCCGAGGCTGGTGCCAATCTGTGGGCTTCGAAGCGTGACGCCGATGCTGGGGCAGACGCAAACCTGTGGGCTTCAAAGCGCAGCGCCGATGCGGAGACCGACGCGAACCTGTGGGCTCTGAAGCGCGACGCCATCGCCGACCCCAACGCCAACTTGTGGGCCCTGAAGCGCGACGCTGAAGCTTACGCTGACGCCAACCTGTGGGCCTCCAAGCGCGACGCCGACGCTACCACAGACGCCAACTTGTGGGCCTCAAAGCGCAACGCCGCCGCCAACACCAACCCCGATGCGAATCTGTGGGCTTCCAAGCGCGACGCCGGCGCTGCCGCAGACGCCAATCTGTGGGCCTCGAAGCGCAACGCAGCCGCTGAGGCCGACCCTCGCATTACCGCCTTCGCTGATCTCCTCGCGCGCGTCCTCGAGTCTTCGGATACAGACAACCTCCTGGCCCGCGATGCCGAGGCTGAAGCCATCCACCGCGGTGCGATCATTGAGCCGATCGACAAGCGCGCCGATGAGAGCAATGCAGCCTAGTCGGAGATTGCGGCCGCGAACGGATAGCAGAATTGACGCTTCGCTCATGTGGAGCCGAGGCCAGCGAGGCGAAAGGAGGATATGAAGCGGCAAAGGAGCCTGCCGCTCGTGGTGCTATCTTTCTGTGTCGCGGTGACGGGGGCGTTGGCTTGCGTGTGTCTCATGTGCTGCACTGTATGCACCAGAAAGTCGTCGCAGCTGTGCGCAGAGCTTAGCGTAGATTACTCAAAAGCGTTCAGCTCATCACGACTTCAATTCGTCGCTTGTCATATATCGTGCAAGGTCGAGAGCTTCACGTCGTCGGGACGGCCACGAGAGCGACCACGTGATCTGCAGTCAGGGCTGTTGGGTTCAGGGGAGTCAAACACAATGGCGGCTATGAAAATTGAGCTCACTCCAGACGGTCACTTGCGCTTCGTGCGCTTCTTCTTCTTCTTCTTCCTCTTCGCCCCTGATGGCGCGGTACTCGTCGCGCCGTCCACCTCCCCAGTCCCATCGTCGACCTCCGCCAGAAGAGCCAGATCGGCCTCTTCGTCCTCGTCCTCCTCCGCCTCATCGTCACTCCCATCCACTGAGCCGGCAGCCTCCTGCCTAGCAGCCCCTTTCTTCTCACTTCTCCGATGACTGACGCCAAAATGCCTCCTATTCTCCTCCTCAAACCCCGCCTTCTCCTTCTTGAACAACATCATCGTCGCCCTCGCGTCCTCCACCGAACTGTGCTCGCCACTCTGGATCACCATGCCCAGCTCGCTCTTCGCCAAGTTCCGCAGCGCGGGCGGCTTGCCCATACTCTCCACCCTGAACTTCGGATGCCGGCTCGTGTCCCTCAGATCGCGCTTCGGGTGCGATAGCAGCAGCACCCGCAAATCATTCCCCAGCGCGTGCCCAACCAGCACGCGGCCATCGAGCAGCTTCGCCACGTCGGCCTGCACCTCCGCGAAGGAACGGGCGAAGCCGAGGCGCAGGTGGCTGTGCTTGATGCCGGAGACGAAGGTGCGGTAGTCCTCGACCTTGATGCCAGGTGGAGGTAGGACGTACGAGTCGTAGATCTGCTCGCCGTGGAAGTTGACGAGTGAGGCGCGGGCGAGGACGTTGTCGGTGTGCGGCGGTGGGCCCGTGCCCACCATCTCGCAATCCAGGGCGACGTACTTGCCTATCTTGTGGGCGAGATGTAGCCCGCCGTTGATCTCGTCGTCGTGGCGTTGCGCTGTACCGCTGACGGCGCCGTATGCTGCCGAGACGTCTCCGGGAGCAATGCCATGCTCTCGGACCAGTGTAGAGTGATCGAGCGGCCGGGTTCCGTTGGTGGTGGGCTTTGAGTCGCCGGCGCCCATCTTGCGCTTCTTGGCGAGCGGGATGGAGTTTGTCTCTGACTTCGCCTTCCGGTCCACCCTGCTGATCGACTTATGTCTCTCCTCTAGCCGTTTGCGCTTCAGGCCATTGCTCTGCGTTTGCGCTTCCGGCTTCTTTTCCGTCTTGAGCTGCGCCTGTAGCTTCTTCCAATTGCTGGACACCTGCGCTACGTCCAGTCGGGACATCGTAGCCTATCGTGACATGGCCAGATGTACACACACACCACGGTCGTAAGTATTGTAGGTTGATGTTTGCCTGAGCGAACTTTCTGTACGAACTTGAGAGACGGAGTTGGTTCGCAGGGTCCAGAACTTCCACGGTCGCAATCTCGACCATCACGCTTTGCGACAACGACGACATCCATCGAACGCCAAGAGCGCATCGTTCACAATCGAGGCAGCATCATAGTCAGTCATGGTAGCTCGCAATGATGCGAAAGACGGCGAGAAAGGCGATGATATCAAGCCAGAACGAGGATATGCGACGCTGGCGACGTTGACGTATGCTCATCTAGCCTAATGAGGCATGGCAATATGCTGATATGTTTGCAGCATAGGGACGAAGGCTTCAGTTGAAAAGGTGCGTGCAACAGCTGCTTTGCAACGCTCGGCGCTCGTGACGCCACGAAGACCATGTACTTCGCGGAACAACGAGCTTATGCTTTGCAGTGACTGCTTATTATACAAGTACACTGATACCTTGAACAGGATGGCGAGAAGCGGAGGGCCGAGATCCTCTCCATCCAAACTCGTAAAGGACGACCAACATACTACGTCCATTATGAGGAGTTCAACAAACGTCTCGATGAATGGGTGTCCGCCGAGCGACTCGATCTCTCGCGAGAAGTTGAATGGCCGGTCCCGGAGAAGCCCGACAGCAAGTCGAAGCAGAAGAGCGCGCAGTCAAAGGCCCAGCAAGTCTCCAAGGCCGAAACCAAATCGCAGCCCGCTCGATCTCACAAGCGGCCCCGCTCAGCAACCATAACGAGGGAGCCCTCCGAAGCACCGTTCGATGTCTCTGCCAAGTCCAGCAGGCGGCCGTCCCGTTCGGGTGGCAAGGAGAACCTCGACCCGACCGTCACCATCGCCGCTGAAGAGATCGGCGGCACGCCGCAACCCGAAGATGAGTCCGCCATCGACCTGGTGGACATGCAGGAGGCCGCCGTGGCCGCCAAAGCGCTCCCCGACCACGAGCCCTACAGCCGCGAGCAGGAGATCGAGAAATTGCGCACCGGTGGCAGCATGACGCAGAACCAGACGGAGATCAGCCGCGTGCGTAACCTGGAGCGCATCCAGATGGGCGCGTACGAGATCGAGCCGTGGTACTTCTCCCCCTACCCGGCCGAGTTCACCGACTGCGATCTCGTCTTCATCTGCGAGTTCTGCCTGTGCTACTTCGGCAGCACCACGCAATTCGGCCGGCACCGGAAAAAGTGCGCCCTCTTCCACCCACCCGGGAACGAGATCTACCGCGACGACAACGTATCCTTCTTCGAGATCGACGGCCGACGGCAGCGAACGTGGTGTCGGAATCTGTGCTTGCTGTCCAAGCTGTTCCTGGACCACAAGACACTCTACTACGACGTCGACCCCTTCCTCTTCTACTGCATGACGTTCCGCTCCGCCCACGGCCACCATCTCGTCGGCTACTTTTCAAAGGAGAAGGAGAGCGCGGAAGGCTACAACGTGGCCTGCATCCTCACCCTGCCCCAACACCAGCGCAAAGGCTACGGCAAACTGCTCATCCAGTTCTCCTACGAGCTCTCCAAAGTCGAGAACAAGCTCGGCTCGCCCGAGAAACCCCTCTCCGATCTCGGCCTGCTGGGGTACAGAGCGTACTGGCAAGACGTCATCGTCGACCTGCTGCTCGAGCGCGAGGCGGAGGGGACACCCATTGTGAGCGCGGAGGACATCGGCAGCAGCCTTGCGATGACGACCAACGACGTCCTGCACACGCTGCAGAACCTCAACATGGTGCGGTACACGAACAAGACGCACGTGATCGTGCTGACGGAGGCGGTGGTGGCGGCACGGGAGCGGCAGAGGGAGAAGGAGCAGGTCAAGGGGAAGCGGACGATTGACCCGGAGAAGTTGGTGTGGCGGCCGCCGGTATTCAGTGCGGCGGCGAGGACGTGGAATTGGTGAGGGGCGAGGGAGAGAATGTTGTTGAGACTACTCTTGTTTCGAGCGTGGCGCTGGGGGAGTGAAATCAATACGAATTGGCCTTTGCTGGGCATGATTTCTGACACTATTACAATGAATGCTGTTCGTCACAATTCAACTGATCAGTTATTTGGACGTCCTACGCCGTAGGCATACTTACCTCCCACAAATGTAGTGGCAGACCGCCTGCTGCATCGACAACCAAAAGCATACGACGAGTGTTTCCAGCTTCAGCCCCTTTCAACACCCAAGGTACATGTCGCTTCCGTGGCCTCCACCGGCCAGATCGAGCATCCGCTAGTGCAAATGATGAGCAGCACATTCCAACAAAAGAATCGCAGTCAAAAATGATTTCTCTCGTCATGATGGGCATTGGAAACGCCAAAAGAGAGATACTAAGACCGAGACTTGAACTCGGGACCTTCTGTGCGCAGCTTAAACACCTTTGACGGCGTCGTACTGTTAGACAGACGTGATAACCAACTACACCATCTCAGCTGTGCTCATGTTTCGTCAAATATGTTAATTATATATAAACAAAAAAGATTCCGAACTTCGCCCGGGAGTTCGTAATTGTTAGTAATGATTGGACTCATAGTCGCGGAGATGGTTATCTATCGCGAGGGTCAGCTCCTAACGCTAGCACGGCCCTACTCCTAATACGTTAATATTATTATTTATACCGCTCTAGTACTAGCGGAGCGGTACTCTTAGTACTCTAGCCGGACGCTCCTAATACTACTTCTAATAGTAGCGCCGCTAGTACGGGGCTAGTACCGATAGGCCTATACTTATACTATACTCGTCTATTATAGAGGTATAGTTAGAAATTAAGCCGCTATAGAGGAACTCTAGCCTATAGTAAGCCGTGTCTTAGCGTTCCTTAGTAAGGAACCTTAAATCTAACAAGCGTACCTATAGGGTTTGTAATACTAGCTTCAATTAATATACTATAGCTACTATCGATTAGATACGCTAGAATAATAGCGCTAACCTCTAGGATACTAACAATATTAAGCTTACAGCCGCTATATACTAGGCGGTAATAGATAGTAAATCTACGCGGCTAGAGAATACTCGGTAAGCTTATAAGCCTAAATAGGCTAAGTTTAAGGCATTAGGTAAGGAGTACTAGGCAATAGCTATTAGCTAACTACGTCTCTAGGTATAGTACTATAGCCGCAGTAATAAGTAGAGTATAGTTACTAAGGCGCGCCTTATCCTATTCTTATAGACATAGGATCTTAATTGCCGGTATCGATAAGATACGAAGGACTCTAAGCGTAGGTAGGAGGCTAGCCTACTAGTAAGTATTAGCCTATCCTAAGTAAAGTAGTATATTACTATAATATACGGCTTAAGTAAGTACTAGCGGAAGGTAGAGAGGCGTAGGGGCACGCCCTTAGTAATCCGTAGATATCGATATAGGGTAGGTTAGGTTAGGGCCTTCGTACGGGGCAGCCTAATATAGAAGAGTCTCTAACGCTAAGACCCTATATATTAGTAATTAGTTAGGGTTTTCGCGTAACCTAGCCCTACCTACCCCGTTAAAATTAGGTTGCCTTCCTATACGCTCGCCTAACTTCCCGTCTCCGCCTTAATTAGCCCCCGTCTAGAGTAGCTATCGGTCGCACGCCTATTACGTAACTATTACGCAATAGATAAATACGAATATACCGCTAGCTATCGTTAGGCCTTTAGCCCCGACGCCGCGACATTAGATAGGCTCTATAGGTCTAACGCTAAGTAATATAGACCTTAAAGGAAGATTAGAGACGTCTATCGAGTACGTACTAAGACGTAGAGTCTAGGGAAGGTCGATACTAACGCTCGATACTATATTAGCCTCCTCTACGTTACGCGGCGAGGTACCCGCCCTCTCTAATCCGACGACAATAAGGATAGTCTTAAAGAAGGGGAATATAGAGGGCGGTAAGATAATAGTACTAATAATAGTAACGATAATATAGACGCCGCCGCCGCCGCGGGAGGAGGTAAAACCAAAGCCGGTAATCCTTTTGTCCTCTACCGCGTAAATTTACCGTCTCGAAAGTACTTTACTACGTCTAGGTTATAATAGAGGCTTAGGTCGCTAGGCTACGCTTAAGATCGATCCGACAATAACGATAGCGACGTAGATAAACCTACTAGACCCTTAATATCGGATAGTACGCCCCGTTATACGCCTTACCGTACTACGGTACCGTAGTAGACACCGATACGGTTACCTAAGGGTTCACTACTTTCGCCTATAGCGCCGCCTACTATCCGGCCTCCTAACCTAAATAGACCTACCGTTACCGTACGCTAGGGGCCGTCTAATAATTATATAGACTAGATAAGTAATAATAGTTCCCCTCCGGATTCTAACGGAATCTACGGGCCTAGTACTAGTCCGCTAAGATACTATACGCTACTTTGTCCGTAGCCTACGTCTACCGAGCTTACGGGCATATCGAGTATCGGGCTATTATAGTTGACTTCCTAGCTTAGGCGTTTCTAGCCGCCGATAGTATATAGGTCCCCGTTATCTAGTACGTTATCGGAAGAAGCGAGGGTATAAGGGTTTAAGGAGCGCGAAGGGTACTTTATATACCGTAAGTCGTATAAGGTAGCCTTCTAGAAGTAGTGTTAGGAAGGATAGTAGCTCCTAAAGTATTACGGAGCTAGGTAAGTAGGAGGGTATACTAGCTAGTAGGTACCGACGACTAGTTAGTAGGGACGGCTCGATAGGTACATAACCCGTCTTATAGAGTAGTTAGCACTCTAACTAACTTGTTTCCTATTTACCGTGTCTTACGTTAGTGTAGTCCTAATAACTTAGTAGCTAAGAAGTCTAATTAAGCGTAATATACCCTCGAACTTTTTTCGACCTAATTGCGTACTAATCGTCTTTATACGACTAGTCTCTACCGCTTGCCCTCCGTTGCCTCGCTCGCTAACGGCTTATCTTCCGACGGCGCTAGCTAAGGCTCGTCGTAGCGAATAGACGTCTACCTAACTAGATCCAATCTAACCCTTAATAGTATTTTCCGCTAATAAATAATAACTTACTTTTCCGTATTATCTACTCGACGCTCTTCCCTTGGACGTCTTATTAATAGCTACGGCGCCCTTGCCTAGTAAGTAGCCGCCCCTTCTGTAACTTAGTAGCTACGTAATTATATACTTCCGTAATCCTCTTTAACTTAATAAGAACAATATAACCTCTTCCTTTTCTAGTCGGTCTAAGACTAAGTTTATCGATACGGTAGCCTAAGTCCCTATACGATAGAACTACTAGTGCTACGGACTACCTACCCTTTAGCCGTAGGTAGTCGCTATCTCCTTTACCCTTATAGCTATTGCGATCCGACAAAGTCGTCTCGACGTAGTAGAGCTCGGCGGGCTTAGTTAGTATTAAGACACGGGTATAAGAATACTTCTCTCTATGTTAGTAGAACCTAATAAACCTCTCTAAGTAAATTACTAAGCGTTAGTATACAAAGACCTTTTAGTTAGATTGAAACATAAGTTAAATACAAACTACCTATATAGAGATCTATCGCGATATATACAAAGGAGATTCGTATCTCGTAGTCCTACTCTATATGCTTTATGTACTCTATGTCTATAGAGTAATAGAGTAATAGAGTAAACCCGTTACGTAACTAGTTTTGCTCTATACGCTAAGACGGACGCCTAATAGAGTAAGTTGCTTATACGGAGTCTTCCGCGTTATGTACTACGATGTTCGTAACACTATCCCCCTTCTAGTCTAGCTCGGTCCCTAAGCTTATTTATTCTATTGTTTATTCTCGTTCTTTCTCTAACGATGCCTTCTAGAGTTCGTAAGTATAAGTCGTCCCGCGAGCGTCGAATTATACTTACTAGTTTCATTAACGAGTACGGCAACATTATACTAACCGTTTTTAACTATTGTAAGGTTAATAAGAAGGTGTGCCGTGTCCACGTTCGGAGTAGTCGGTATAACGAATACAACCGTTCGAATTTCTCAGATTACGATATCCGGGTAACGTTAAATAAGTTCTCGAAGTTAGTAAGAGAGCGGAAGTCCTTAGTGTCTAGAATTAATAAAGCACGCGCGGCGACGGTAGCTACGCAATCTATAGTAATAGATGCCTAGAGTCGTTTAAGTAAGGCGTTAGCGAAGGAGATGCGGCTGTATCGTTAGCTAGACTAGAATAGTCGTCGTGCCGACGAAGCGGTTACTATTAAAGAGCGTAGTATTACGGAGTAGGAGACGGAGGAGTTTATAGCGGAACTCGATCTTCCGTTATTCGAGCCTACGCCTTAGGACAATCGATTAATAATAAGTCCTTCTAGCTAGGATGCTTTCGTCTAGGGCGTCCCCGGGTACAGTGTTAATATCCCGGAGGTTCCGAGTTTGTAGCCTAATCCTTCGTAGGAGATAATCGAGACCTAAGATCTAGTAGTCGATTTTGTATAGCGCTACTAGAACTTCCAAAGTTCTTCTATATAGCGGGTAAGATGTTCCTTAGGTTCCTAGGTATTATCTAACTCTAGGTAGCCCTTCTACTTAACGAGTAATACTAACCTTGTTTTTCTAGGACTTTCTCGACTTCGAATTCGTTATCTTCCTATAGTTTGAAGTAGAACGTTGTTTATAGCGTAGAGTTCGGGTTTACTAGTTCCAGGAGTAAGATATAGAACACTAGGTGTATCCTAGTATCTTTAGGTAGGCTAAGCTTATAGCTAGCCTTACCTCTTTATTCGTCGACTAAAAATAGTCCGACCTTTATATAATCTAGTTTCTTTGTACCTTGTCGTGTCTTAAGGTTCTTCGTAAGGAGGTATACCTTATCCCTCTTCTTAAGTAGAGGCGCCGTTTTTGAGTCTTTATATTGGCTGCTTATTAAGGCTTTCTAGGACCTAGTAATTACTTATTGTTACGGGTAAACGACGTATACACTAAAGTTCGATATATAGTTAGTATTCAATAAGTTAGATAAAGGACAGAGAGAACTCTTAGTCGTACTCTAATAAGGAAGAGTTAGGTACTAAGGCCGAGTATAGGCCGAGCCTATACCTTAACCTAAGGGCTCGCCCTTTATATTACCCTACCCTCCTCCGCTCGTAGTAAAATAGCCGGGCTCCGTCTAATTTTGAACGGATCCCGCCGCTCGATCTCCTAACGTCTTAAGAAGTTAGTTTATAATCCTTATAAAGTATACAAAGGCGACAAAGAACTCGCGTAGTCCTAATGCAAACGGCCTAATCCCCTAGTGTGTAAACGGCCTAATCCCCTAGTAGTAATCTTATAAGTCTTTATAAGCTTTATTACCTATAGTAGGTAATAAAGGCGATAAAGAACTATCGGATCCCTACCGCAAACGGCCTCGTTCCTTTATGCTTTAAAGGAGCGTAACCTTATATTACCTATATAAGTATTGCTTACTTAAGTAAAGTTACCGCAACTTTATATAGCGCCTTACTATAAGAGTCGCTTCCCCCCCTCGATCGGTCGCTTTCCTTTC